GCTGTTTGTGGGGGGTGGCTCTTTATCCCAAAAAAATAGAAACCCCCCATGGATAAGCCAAGACTCCGAAGGATCATCCGCATCGACCCAGTGTGTGGGCATCATTTCCTGCTGTACTTCTGCGTGGACCTCTGGCTTCCGAGGCGCTGGGAGCGAGCCGAGCTTCCTGTCGGCAAAGGGAGATCTTGCCTGTGGGACAGAATTTGCGCAGCCTTCATCCATGTCCATCACCATAACAGCCTGCTTGCTGAGAGGCACCATGGCCATTCCGGAAGCCTATAACTAAATAGCTTGAACAGCTTTGAGAAAAGAAACTGCCCGGCAGACAAACGGTAGCATGTCAGCTCTTCTTTTGCAGGAGCTCAAAGTTCTTCAAAGGCAGCTCTCAAATTGTCTCAAACTGAATGTGCACGCGTCCTTGTTTGCCTCTATTGGCTCACCAGATTCAGTTGTTACCTAACTTTCTGCCCTGTGCGGATCTGTATTGCTAGCCCTGCAGAGGCCACAACCTGAAACCTCACCTACACCCAACAGGATGGGACAAGCTCAACTTCTCTATTCAAAAAACTGCAAACCCTTGCGCAGCCCCTGTAGTTGAGATTAGCTCTGGACAGGAAACTGCAACCCATCTGGCATCAAAAGTATAGGCCTCCAAGAATAGCAGCACACAAGCGTGCAATCTGGCGGTAGTCAGCGCCTTGCAAGATGTGTTTGCATCAGGCTTCTGAGTTTTTGGTGATGCTTTTTGTGGTTGCTGCGGGGAGCAGAAAAAAACTGCTCACATTGTAATCTTGATAGAGGCTCAAAATGTCAAGCCCGAAATGATACATGCCGAAAACCCCCCCCAAAAAAAAAAAAACAGGTTAAATGATTCATCAACACAGCGCCCGAAAAGGTGCCAAAGAAACGCAGCCCTCTTCGTCATGGATTTGCAGGCTTTGCCCGGATTTGTCAAAAAGTCAATGACCATGTCCGTACCATGTTCTAAGCATTTAACCACAATGAGGTAATCCGGTTCATTCCCTGAGGCCTTCCCTTATCAACCCTATGTCGCCAATCCCTAATCCTGAAGGTCCTGAAGTTGACAGCTCTCCATGTACAGTCCCAGAAGCTGTTGCGGACAACAGGGGAGATGCGGATCTCCTGTCATGAGATCCACCTACCGCACACCCCGCTTCAAGCAGATGGAAGCTAGAAGTAGAAGTTGCTTGGCAAAATGCCAGCAGATTTTTCGGTGGCTGTCTACCCACCGGCCAACGGTGTCAGACAGTTTCCCAACTACACCAGAACATGCATTACGACGGTCCCGTGGATTTCAGCGTAAAAGAACTGTCTACTTGCGCTGCATGGACAGCAAGCTCTCCAATGCACTGCTCTCATATTACCACAAACGGCGGGATCAATAGATCGGATGTTTGGCATGACTCCTTGGCACCGCGTCCGTACGTGCGCCGTATCTGGCAGGGCATAGCAAAACGAGCAGCTGCTGCAGGGGCGATTGATGAGCTTTAGGCATTATGTAATTACGTGGGCTGCAGTCGTCTTGCTAGAGCTGAGCTGTCAGGCAATCTGATTCACTAAACAAATCTCTTGAGCCAACCTGGAGGCCTACATTGGACACTTGCCCCCAAAAGCGCCTGGGCATCCGAGTCCTCCTCCTGTGCTGTCAATGATTTAGTGCTACGTCAGCTTTTGGGTCTACCCAAGAGCCAGCAGACCAGCTCAGTTCGACTCATGGGGTACCCAACAGTGAACAAGAACAGTGGCACCATCAACTTGAACTTGGGGGACTGAAGGCTGTGACAGACCTCATGGTTCGTGATGGCTTTCGATGTTCATTGCTGCTTGCGCGTCCTCTCGGACCTCCGGCTCCTCCGAAATCTCAGATGCCGCAAGAAAACCACCTCGAGATGCGGCCTGATCTAGGTCAGCGCATGGCTCATCATGTGCAAAGCAAGATCTGGCATGCTGCGAGACCACGCGCCTGCGCTTGCCCTTCGTAGCGAACGGTCACGGGAAAAGTGCCTAGGTTCGGAGCCAGGGCACCGCCCAAAAGTGGCATGGCTTAGACAGCACTGGCAGAAAGCATGGCAGGGTTATGGACAGCTTCCAAGCTATGCCAAGCTGCGGCCCGAGACATTGATCACGGGAACATCTTTGGCACTTGCGAAGAAACCTTGACAGAAAATGCCACACGTGGTCGACACACATGGAACCTGTCTGGGCGGGATGCGTGAACTCAACCTGATTTCCAGGGTCAGAACTGGCGAAGTATTCCAAAAAGATCTCCTGCTGCAAGGTTGCAGACCTCAGCTTTCCAGTGTCAACATGGCCGCTTATTGACTCATGTGCCATGCTGGTGAGGAGCCAGCCTTGGGCACAAGCAAGCTGGGGCCCCTACATCAGAACCAGCTTCAAGTCTGGCCTGCGACGCAGAAGCTCCCGAAGGATCGTCAGGAGGAAGTCTGTGTGCAAGCTCCTCCAGGGCATGCGAACTGGGAGGGTTTTTGTGGCAGACTTGGACGGCCAACCCTTCCTCTCATGGACCTCGTCAAGAATGATGTGAGTGATTCTTAGTTGTCCATGCCCACTGCCCGCGACTTAAAGACAAGCATAGCAGAGCGCTTTCAAAATGTTCTAGATACCAGTCATGTCTCCCTACAACGCACGATTCTGGTAACTAGTCACAGTCTCTTGCACGGTCAGGCAGCGTTAGAGTTTGAGATCATTCACGCCAGAGCAACAACTCAAAACTGCCGATGGGACTCAGTGTTTTGGGTCATGCTGTCACACTGCTCTCAAGTTTCAAGGCCATTGGATCCATGCGCCAAGTTTCCCTTCGAGGTCGGGTGAGGCGTTCAGACGAGTCAGCAGCACTCCGGAAGTGCAAAAGATGAGACGCGTCAACCTGTGGAGCGGGTTTCTCTTGAGTGCAGTCCTCCTCATCTGGGTCTTTTCATGACACCACTCTTACATCTGAAGACAGAATTTGGAGGAGTTTGGGGAGGTCGCTCCCTCCTCTGTTGCTGTCTCAACCCCTTTTCACGGACTATGTTGCATGATTCCTCTACATCATGGACATAAACAACGGTTGTCGCACGGGAGCTTGCAAGGCGATTCTCTAACAAAGGGTAGGCGTTCGCTTCAGAATCTTCCAGATATCTAAGCAGAAACAATCCGACAGCACCCAGTGATTCTCACGGTAAATGATGCTGAGCGGATTTCCCGTGAAACTCTGGCTACAGGATGCGGCGAAGATTCCCTTGAGGCCTTGTTGCCATCGCGTTCAGACGAACGGCAAAGCCCACTACATCACCAACAGGCTCACCTTGCAGGCTTTGGCAGCTTGCTGGGCAGGAGTCCAAGTCCCACCCCTCCAATCAGCATCAAAGCGACGCAGCATAAAGCCGTGTCTGCCTCTGTGTTCCTCTGTACGCGTCGATGCAGCACAACACGTGCACAGGAAGAAAGTATGCCATGCGAGCAGCTCTGATAGCTGATGATCCTTGCTCAGCCAGCGCCCTGACCGATCCACAAACCGTGCTCCTGCTTTGTAGCGATCTAGCAGGATTTCCGCTTGAATGCAAATTGAAGACCAGCCTAGCGTAAATCGACGCCGACACAATATAGAGTCCGAAATGAGTATCCCCTCTTGTCCACAGAAAGAACAGATTACCCAACAAAGGATGCCCCTCCTATCACGTCGGAGCCCGAACCAACTGCAACTGCTCTGGTCAAGAATTCCTGAGGGCCTCGTTCCTCCGCCACACGCGTAGCAACGCCGACCGCGGCGATTCGCCGTGGCCTCGGGGCAGTTCATGTTGCGATTCCACCTACTTCATCAAAAGTTTGCGCGGGAGCTGCGCAAATTCTATCTGTTGGAATGCTGGCAACAGTGAACGGCGCTCAGGCTCGCTCGCGCAGCTATTCTGCAACCACGACACGATGCATCAAATAAGATTGAGTCTCAGAGGCTGCGTGCAAATGATTGAGACCTCCCCCGCTTTGCCGCTCGCGGCTGCAGCCTGTTGAGAAATAAGTCTGGCTGAGCACCAGCACACTTCATACACGACTTTTGGAAGGAAAATCACTCCAAAATCCTGACACATCCCTACCCATCCCGCATGACATCTAAGCCGTCTAGGTCCCAGGTGTAGGCGCCTCGAGGATGAAATTTGGGCACTGCGTGGTCTTCCCAGACCCAGTCTCACCTGCCACAATGACCTTGTCTGAGAGTGGCATCGCAAGGTGCAATGCCCTTGATATGCGTACGGGAACGGCGGCCGGCGTGTTGCCACATCTGGACCTCTGAGAGTTGCGCAACCTGGTTTGCCTGCAAAGCGTCAAGGAAAGCTTCACGTGCCTCAGTCAACAGCTTGGCTAAGTCTGATGGTCCTGGCTGATACTCAACAAAGGCACTCTTCTGAAACACTCTCCCCCTCATGCTGCTAAACCTAGCTTCTTGCCTCGGCAACAGGCAATGCTGCCCGGGCCCGTCGGACTTCCGAATCCTTCAAAAAACCACAAGGAAACTCAATCGTTTAAGGTCCGGCCTAGCACATCAGAAGATGCAGGCCTTGCTGTGATACTCTTCGGCTGCTAGCTGAAGCCGCGAATCTCGGCAGGATGAAGTTACCGCAACTACATCCCTTGCTTTACTTGTTGCATCCAGCCTCTGGACCTGACAAGCCAGGATTACACACTGCTTCCACCAAAGCTCTTGCATGGCGAAATCATTAATTACGCCAGAGTTGCCCATGTAACAGGGTCAAGTACATATCGCAACTCGAGTGACCCTAGGCCCCCGGGCTAAGCGTGGCCTTTTCCATCTCGGTAAGTGGTGCCCAGCCTTGAACTGTCCGTTTGGCGTACCTGGCAGTTGTTTGCGATGCCCAAGCCGTCTGATAAATAAGCCTGTGCTGGCATGGCAGTGGTCAGATTAGGTGCTGGCCCTTCTCCACAAAAGTTCTTAAAAAAGGTGCAGTTATTGATTGCACTTCTTCAGCACAAGTGCAATAATACTGATAATATGCCAGGCGACGTTGCTCGGACAGCCTCCAAGTCAGACACGGGTGCCGCGTCCTTCAACCCATGGAATTGGGCTGTGGCTCCGACAGGGGGGCAAGGGAATTCGCAACACTCATGCTTAAGTTTTGCAAGTGAGGGGAGCGGGGCCAGACATAGATCAGCTAGAAGTGCCACGGGCAGCATAAAGCCAGAATGTGCTGTCACACGACACAGAGCAAAGGCACTTGCAGGCGACAAGGCAAACACTTTGGACCGAAGCCCCAACCAAAGGCTACCGCATATATTGACATATACCCTGGCTATCCCCCACCTGCCACCCATAGCCCGAAATCGCTTTTCCTCCACACCGGCTGATGTCGGGGAGGCTTCAACCTCACAAAGGCAAATGTTGGCAGCAAGCCGAGGCAGGATGATGCAGGATTGGGTTGGGCAGCTACAGCAACGTCAGCACCTCAATCATTAATTAGCCCTGTGTCCTTGCGCTTCCTGCCCTTGCCTTGTCTGCGGCACGAAGACACGCATGCAAACTACTAGCAAGAAGCTACATCTGTGCCATGACTGCTGCGCCGTCTACTGTGCCCTTGCCCAGGACCTGTTAGGACATGAGTTGCCCCAGTCGCTACTTACATCTCCAGGCATGCACAGTGCCCACCCACTCCCTGCCCAGCCTGGACTGAGGTGGAGTCGGTGGCCTGATGAAAGCTGTGTCCCTAGTTTCCGACATCACGGCTGATGTTTATGAGGCTCAGAAGCGTATTTTTCGTGTCCAAGTGTGGTGGTCGCAGATTCCGCAATCTTCGTGGAGAATTCCAGAACTCGCCTTCTCGCCAGTCTCTGCTGGCACATCAGAGGCCGCAGACGGAGGCTCCCTTGCCGGCAGAGAAGGTGTTCTTTTGTTCAGAAGCCGTGGGCTGGCCTTCTCTGAGTTGCATGACTTTGTATGGCTTCTTAGCTGACAAAGTTTTTTGTTTGCATCTGGCTTGCCGGACCTTATGCCTGACCTCTCCAACCCCTCAAGGCTTGCTGCTAGTCGTGCTGGTTATGCAATACTGCACAGCATCCCCAAGCACGATAGCAGACCCACCTCATCGAAACAACCAACACGGAGCCATCAGCCAAGTCTGATGTTCGTTCCTTGTCCAACACTGGCACTCGCAAGCAAGCTACAGTGACCACAAATCTCCACACTTCATACTGTACCCCCTTTCTGCTGCAATTGCAAACTCGAACAGATTGGGCCAACACCAGCAGACTCTCTTTTTGAATGTGCTCACAGATGTCACTCGGCGTTGAGCTGTCTGCCAGCAACGGACACCGTGTATGGCTTCCATGATCGCTTGTTCGGCCTTGCCATCACTTTCAAGACCTCGTTGAGCTTGCCCTTGTAGGTGTCCATTGGCATTTTTTCGCGAACAATGGGCTGAGCGGTGGAGATCGGCTGGATGACGTACTCCTTGCCTTGAATCACTGGAATTGCGGGATGAAGGCGCTTCGCGCTTTCTTCCTCCTGGATTGCCAAGCTCTCCTCGGTCTCCGGGGGCGGCCGAGGAATCGTTCCCACCTTCTCACCTTCTGCTAGGAAACCCTCCAGGCTGTCCACTTCCTCTGGGACCATTATTTGGCGTAGCCACTTTTGAACTAAACCACGTGCACGCTTTCGGTTCCGAGGAGTCTCATCTGGATGACTTTGGAGCCTTGCTACAATCTGTCCTAAGCGTGGTTCCCCTGCGTCTCGCAGCGCATCTTTGGTGATGGGTAGCCGCTCCATGCAAGCCAGCAGAGTGGACCGAAGGTGCACAGATGGCAGCTGTCCATTAGGAAGATTCTGCAGCCAAAGTGCCAAGACTTTGCATCCACCGTAGGTGATGAAGGCATCAGAGAACTGGAATTTTTCCATGACCTCCACCGCCTCCGGCAGCATTCTCAGCTTCTTCACCATTGGCTTATTCTCAAGATAATCCTGCACATCTTCAGCCGCAATGCTCTCCATCTTCTTGACGAAGGCTTCCACGAACCTGCAAAACAAGCATTCATCGGCTTTGAGCCCAGTGCCGACTGATTTTGGCCAAGGCACACATGGGCATCCTCGTCTTTGATGACAAGACCTGCCGGAGAGAGGGGATTGGGTCATGCGAACAAACACTAGGCGAGGCAAACATCGCCATCGGTCACCATCGACACCAGGGCAGTATTAGGCTTCGCATGCACCCCTCGGCTCCATGCTTCTACCAACGCCTCATGTTGCAAATACCCGAATGCCCGCCTTTCCGCGGTCTGATTGCTTCCAATACTTGTGTCCACTGGCTGGTCAGAGTCTCGGGCACAGGCTCCTGCAGCCGAGGCATATCAGCAGAAATTCAAAGCACACCTCGTGAACTTCTCACCTAGTGAATGCTCCGAATTCTTACGACAGATGCTGATTTTGGGGTTCAAGCTTCATTCATGGAAACGCCTTTCTCCTTCTTATGTACCTTATTCTCACACTTACGGTTTCCATACCGAGGACGTGTGATCCAGTTGCTACAGCTTCCAACCAGTGCTTCAAGCCTCTTTGCCTTCGAGGTTATCGTAGCCCTGCAAAAACAATCCTAACCTGAACCCCACACAGTAGTTTCCATGTTCTTTTCCATTATCCCTATATAAGCTACATTATACCCTAGAATCCCTATATTCCCCTAACCCCTGTCAGCCTCCTCCGCCTGCCGGGCTGATGACTTGCGCCGGCGTGCCCCGAGCCCAGCGGGTGACGGGCTCAGGGAGCGGCCCACCCTGAGATGATGGGATGGTCAGGTCAGGATATGATGACGGATGACACTATAACCCAAAGGACCTTTAAGGATGTCTGTGGGGGCATGGAACATACACCAGGTCACCAGGGGTATGTTATCATGTCTGGCATGAATCCCAGCATAATGCTGATGATGATGTAAAAAACTCTGAACCGTTCTGAAAACACCGGACGCGCTATGGAAAACCTGCCTGCCCGGCACCTACAATCCTGAAGTCATGAGCTCGCCAACTTCATGGCAAATTCACTCAGCAGGCAGCCCCGCCCGAAATCATTTAGAGCTCTCATGGCTCGCAGATAATAAGTGGCGAAGTCGCCCAGGCGTGCCCTTTGGCTTCTTGACTTGTGTGTTTACGCGTGTTTCGGTCAGCAGAAACGCCAGTGGTAGTCGGGGCGTTGAGCATCAAAGTTCGGTTTCGCCACTTACTCGCCAGAACGTTTTACACAACAGGAATTAAGCCCAGTCAAGTGGATCAAAACTATAATCTAACTCTGAGTCATGAAGGGGTCCTTCCCTTCTGCGCCCAAGGTGAATGGAAGAGCAAGACTTATAAGATCCACGCGTCCAGGATCCACTTGAACCAGTTCAAGCGCAACTTCCCACACTGTTCACTTGCACCGCCCCTTTTGTCGCCCCACAGTGTTCGCATTCAGATTTGATAATCCGCACCTTGCCATCCAATTGACAAGCGCCAAGTGTGCGCTTCCAATCCAGTTGGTACCTACTGTTTGGGTGTTCTTCTTAGTCTTTGCCCATTTCACATATCCCTCAGACAGACCTAAACTTTGAAACTAGTAGCAGCTGGCACAAGATAAACACCTGGCTTCTTGAGTTCCAGCTCCACAGCCACCCAGTGGCAGAGTTCGGGTTCTAACCACAGCTTCTGAGCACCGGCAAAAAATCCCTGATCCCGGGCAGCGTTCAGCTGAGCCACCGTTGCGAGCGCGAGGGCGACCCACCACCAGCTACCAGAAATGGGGACGGTGCTGGCGGCTGCCCGACACTGCCAGGCGCGACCTCCTGAAACAACTGCACTTTGAACAGTGCTGCTTAAATTGCAGGGGAGGGCTGTGGCTGAAGCCGCGAGCTGATTTCTTCACCTGTTTCTCATCAACTGGCAATCTGCCTCAGCCTTGGACCTCTGGCCCAAGCTCAGTTGACACTAGAACTGCACGTTTGTTGGAACACATCTAGTTCAGCTTTTGCAACACGCCGCTCCGAGAATTGGTCGTCCACATCACCCTCCAGCCCAAGCTTTTGGAAGATGTCTTCATCCTCATCGACGGCATTCGCCTTCGGAAAGCGTGTCATCTTGTGCTCATGGTTGTGTGGTGCTTTGTTTCTACGTGCGAATACGCACGAGGCCCTCCGACTCGGCCCTATGCAGACGGCAATCCTAAATTATCTAATCTAGATAACATGCGGATGCTTCCGAAACACATTCAGGGCTCCCATCATGACCCCAAGTTGCGATTATGATCCATCTTTACAGTACCGTGACTCCCAAAAACGACCCCGAAGTTTTCGACACCCTTCTCCGGATAGACCGCCATAGGACACTAGTGTCCATTTCATTGTCCATGCTCTTTCCATTTTTCTGAATTACTCGGATAATATCCTTAAACCCTAAACACGACATATTCCTATATAATCCTACAGAACCCTGAAATCCCCTTTTTAACGATTCTATGTATCCCTCAGGTTACACTCCACCGCAACGCGCAAGGCTAATTGCAACTCGACTTTGTCACCCCAACAGCGCCAAGTTCAAAAAAAGGTCGCTTAAAAACATCCTGTTCTTGAGTAGATACGAGAATCCTTCCGTAGCAACATCCCTGTTGTTGCTGCTGGGGCGAAGAACGCCTGTATCGTCACATAATAGTTACAAAAAAATTAAGAAGAATGCCCTGTCGTGTAGCAAAACGCAGGCTCTCACATACAGACTTTTCATAAGAGTCGAGAGAGTGTTGTTGGGGCTTTTAAAACGTGGCAGCCTTCTGATTCATGAGAGAGAGAGAGAGAGAGAGAGACCACGCTCCTGTCTCGTCCGGACCATGAATAATCCCCGTCTTTCTGAATCAGAACCCCAAGAAACAGTTATTAAAGACATCCAGATTCTTCCTCCTAAAGAGACAGCGCAGAGTTTCCGCCCAGAATAAAGCGGTCATTTTAATTATTATCGCCTTTAGTGTTTGTTTGTTATGAATATGTCGAGCACCTTCAATCTTGCCACAGCATACCACAGCAGGGGCCTTCGCAGAATCATAAGGGGTCCTGGATTCTAATGACTTAACATGGTGCAACCTGGCTTTTTTCATCTCCAACTCAGTAGGAGAGGATACTAGGAGCTATATTAATTAACCCTCTCAGGGCTTACCAGCATATATAAACATCTTCATTCCGGGTCAGCAACCTGCAGGTTTCATGTGCTTGCGAGACTTAAGACCACATTGCTGGTTGGGTTTGCGTGAACAAGAACCCGAACAAGTAATCTCAAGTCATGTAAGATCATCTTCTCCCCCAACAGGACAGTGTGTGCGTAGTCCTTTTGTGAACCCAGGCTCACTCCTTCAAAAAGAAAAAGAGCTGTTCAAATGTTTGTGCAGGTCAGGAAAACGTAGGGATTTCGTCGCTTTTTTGGCCTACCTGCTGGTTTTGTCTGAGTGGGAAGCAAGAAGCTGTCATTCGCAATGCATGTATGATAATCTTCTTCTGCAGACTTTTTGCCATAATAGAGTGCCCAAATTCCTTGTCAAGAAGTTAGTTATTTCATGTTGTTAACAATTTGGATCATGGCCTTTTTCTTTTCTAGCTCAGTCTAAATTCACTGAATGCTGGTCCAGAACACTTAGAGGGCCCTTTTCCGTTTGATACCAAATGTCGGCTTCGTTATCGAAACGGTCGGTGTTCCAACTGAGACTGTTTCGTCAAAAGAAACAAGGAGTACTGCGCACGACAGAATATTATATGACCCCACAAAGACCTTTCAGATATTCGAGGAGCAACAGCGACATCAGAATTGTCTTGTGTCCCGTCAAGACAAAGCCAAGAAACACGGGAAAAACTGATGAAGCAAGCTGAACAATTGAATCCATATGATCCCCTACATAACCCTATATATAGCAGTTTCCATTTCATCTTCCATTTTCTTTTCCATTTGATTCTCCATTATTAAGGGGATCGTTTAGATCTTTCAACCCCTAAACCCCCAAACCCTTATGGTAGTTTCCATTTCACTTTCCATTTGATCTTCCATTATCTCTATAAACCCCCAATATACTATAGTAGTTTCCATTTGATTCTCCATTCTTAACGGGGATACTATCCCTAAACCCTAAATTCCATTATCCCAATAATATAATCCCCATATTATAACCCCAATATACATATTATCCCATTATAACCCTATACAATCCCCACATAAACCCCATATAACCCTATGTAACCCCTATAACCCCTAGTAGTCTCCATTTTCTTTTCCATTACAATTGAAGACTTTCAAGGTGCCTAACTTTCACCTCCAAGCCCATGGGCAAAAGGTGAATGGCTTCAAATTTCATTGGGTGCTTCTTAGGGGTTATATTGGGGGTTCTATAAGGGTTATATTGGGGTTATATTGGGGTAGTATTGGGGTTATATGGGGGTTATGTCGGGGTTTATATAAGGGTTATATTAGGGTTATATTTGGGTTATATGGGGGTAGTATAGAATGACATGTCTAAGCCTGAGAAGGGGAAAATTGGCAAAGCAGGCAAAACTATGGATTTTCAGATCACAGCACGTGAAAACAATGGCAACAAGAACAGTGAAAAGCAAACACGCATGAATTTCAAACTTGGGGCATAGATGAGGTCAGCATTCACAAGCCTGGCTTCAAGGCGTTTTCCGAAGTTTCATCTGCTGAGAATCAGAAAACCATGACGGTTCCGTTGACTTGCAAATGTTTCATAACCAAGTTCTTGGAAAGCCAGATCTTGAAAATCCTGCTTTTGGGCTGTCAGCTATGCCATGAATATCAGATTACTGGCAGAGACGCCTAGGCCGAGAGCCAACGGCTGGAAAACAATGGAGAAACCGGAAAAGTCCATTTACCGCTATTCCTGCAAACCAAACTAACAATGGTGACCACTCTGGAAATCAAAGAAATGCAGACAAGGCGAGTACATCGTATAAATGCCCTGACCACGCCTTGGCGTGTCCAGCATCTGCCTCTTCGTGTGGCACAATGTTTGAAGGTGCATCGAGGAAAGCGGCTGCTTTGCGCTTCTTGTCCTTTTTCTCCTTCTTATCTTTCTTATCCTTCTTGTCTTTCTTTTCTTTCTTATCTTTCTTTTCCTTTTTGCCAGAAGCCTTCTGCTTGTCTCGTCGGACTTCTTTCTCCACTTGATCCACGAGATCCTGGTTTCATGCCGCGTCTGAGAGTGCAGTGTCCATCCCAAACTCTGTGCATCAACGGATCATGTGCTCGAGCGCTTGCTTTGTTGCTATACAAGGTTACTTTTCCCTCCCGCCTGGCTGTGACAAGCTTACTGAGTACTGCGGATCGGTAGTCTCTGATGCTGAATGAACGCTCAAGGGCCTCTGTGGCGTCTTTTTGCTTGTCTTGCTGCGGCTGCTTCACGGGCAAGGGTGCCTTTGCTGGCTCCTGGGGTGAAGTTGAGCGTGCCCAAGTTCAGTCAACATTCGCCTGCTCTCTGAAAGCGGAGGCTTTGGCTTATCTCTGGCTTGGTTTAACGGGGATCTAAATACAGTGGCCATGGAGACGTCAGATCCTAGTCATTGCCTCTCACACCAACACGCCTCGTTGTCGCTGCCGCTTCCAAACAGCTCTTCCTGCATATCGCAATGCTCATTAAAAGCTCACGTTATGGTGCACCCACGTCAGAATCACCAAAAAAGCAACAAGCTCATGTCCTCCATATCCTTGTCCTTGTCTGCTCCGTCAACCTGCAATCTGCAGCCCGCTGCACACATAGACTCAGAGCCGTGAAGGGAGGTTCATTCCATAATTTCTGGAAGACTGGCTTGAACTACGCGAGCCTCGGCTTCGTTCCCATCTTCTTGTACTGGCAGCTTCGCTGCATGCTTGGGGCCATCCGAGTCCTCGGATAATTGGTCGTCCTGCTGTTGCTCTTTGAGCTTTTTCGCCTTCTTGTCCTTCTTGTCCTTCTTCTCCTTTTTCTCTTTCTTTGCAGTCTTGTCTTTGCCCGCTTTCTTCTCCTTCTTGTCCATGGCGTAACGTGAAGGGCCGCAAGCGGTGGGACTGCTTCAGGTAAGTCTGTGAGGTGGTGAAGTGTTGTGGCTGAGCTCTTGCCGAGGTCACTTAACTGTGAACTTGAAAGCGAGCTGGCGGCGAACTGCTTTGTTTTAGTAGCCACTCTGCAGCGGTATGTGTGTGCGAGTGTCTGTAAACCTGAACTGTCTGTGGTCTATGGCGCGCACAGCAGCCTTGATGATTGCCTATGGCTAAAAAAGGTGGCGCCGCAGTGCCTGCTAGGCGCTTCTGAACCATCAAAGGCGGAGACGTCACAAGGTCGGCGAACACGGTGGGAAACAATGGCGACAGCATTTCTTCTTTGAACGGATATTTGCAGTCAAGTTGATCCTTGCTTTGGGATCAGGTGAAGCATCCTTGATGGCATCAGCTAGGAAGACGCTGCTGTCCCGCCACCACCACCATGGTACTGGAACAGGGGAGGGCAAAGACTTTGGCCACTCCTGATTTGAACAGCACTTCAGGACACAAAAAGTGCAGAAAAACCTCTGAACCTCATTTGCTACATCTTTAAGTCAAGGACCCTGGCATTGCGTTTATCATTGTTTATCATATCCTACGTAATTAGGAAGCTGGGGGCGTTTCTTGCACTTGGGAGAACTCAAGCAACGTCTGACGCCAGCAGATTGATTCAGGAAGTCGAAACACTACCTGTTTCTTGGAGGAGGATACTCTCCCACCGTGAGCTGCTTCTGCAGATTGCTGCAGACCTGTGACCAACCAGGCAACGCGGGTTGGAAGCTTGGCATTCTCTGACGGTGCTCATTACAGTTACAGGAGGACTCGCCTGCACCAGCCCAAAGCTCAGCACAGTCAGCGCTGCCAGCGCCACGGCGAAGTCTGGAAGCAAGGAGACCCCCAGCAGACCCAGCAGCACCTCTCAGACAGGTCTGTGGTCTGCCTGGACATGCTCTGAACAACAGGTCCTACATGCCGCTGCTTTGGCAATTTGCATGAACAGGCAGAGGAATACCAAGCCAACAGCCCTTCGGGATTATTCATTGCCAAATACGTCCAAGGACGAGGTGCAGCAAATTCAGCCAGCTTCCTGATCCTGCTCGCCGCGCTCAGGGCAGATGAGCAGCTGGAGCAATGGTCCTGATGCAGCAACACACAGCAAGTCTTTAGCATTTTCACAGGTCACCCAGCTCTTGGACGCCAAGGCCTAGCCTTATCTTGAACGTGTTCCGTCTATAGGCAGCGCACTGTTGAGTTCCGTACACTATGCCTGCACGGACACAGAGCTTCCAGGGAAGTGGTTAGCTTGTATACAGCATGCAAAGCATGTCAAGAAAGCGTAGAAGTCAAGAAATCAACCATTTTACGGGCTGCTTCTACAGAATGATCTTGCTTAACCCCAGCGATCGTTACCTTTCATGTGCATCGACTCTGAAATGATTGCGGCAGAAAGTTGTTGATGCTGATTGTGTCTGGCCGCGGTGTGAGAGCGCTTTCGCTCCAACAGCTCATCTTTGCTCGCCCAGACCCTGCGCGAGCCTGACAGGAGATGGTTTGCCCTAGGCTTCACCTCACAGAAAAGGCTGCCCTGGTCTTCCGAAAAGATGCAAGGAAGCCGAAAGTATCTACTGCGCGCGGCCCCAATTACACGTGCGGCCACATGAACGTACGTGCAAGGTGAAGCATGCCAATCAATGTATGTATGTATGTATGTATGTATGTGTAAGATCACGTAGTAAGACATGCCCAGGCAGCATTGCCGCGCCCAAGCGACGCCGCCTGTGCAAACCAAGCTTTGCAAAACATCAACAGCTTCCCAGCGCAAACTACTTCGTCAGCAACCTGGATTCGTGTAACTTTCTTTAAGGAGTCCAGGCTGTGGCATGTTAAAGCGACCATGCCAGTGAAGCACATCTGCATGTGGGTGTCACCACCACGATCTTTCCTGAAACGCACGTGGATTTATGGACGTAAGAGCACAGAAGTGACCTCCTCAAACCAGATAATGTTTCCTTTTCCACTACAGTAGCAGACCATGGAAAAGATTGGCACAGAATGTCACCAGGAAATTGCCCACCTAGCAACATTATCAGCCATCTGCACCAGATGAAGATGACTTGCACTCAAAATCAAAGTGCATCGCGGCTAGACCTGCAGCAGTCCGGTGGTGCGCCTGAAGAGAACTGCTCAAGCCACCGATGGTAGTGCAACACGGCGCCATCAGCACTTGTTGGCATATACCTGAGGAAAGGTCAAGCCATGATGCAGCATCAGCAGCAGCAGCAGCAGCAGCAGCAGCAGCAGCAGCAGCTCTTGAGAAAGCCTACCGGCAAGCTTACACGATCCAAACAACTGCGGGAACAAGTATTCACTTTTCTTTGAAGATGATTGAGAAGGTAGGTCTGAGGCTGCTTTGCAATCCTGACTTAGCCTTGGGATACCTTGCTTCCTGACCCTTACTGAGCCAAGCATCAATCGATCTCGCCAGCTGGCATCCTGTGCTCAGCAGGTAGCCATCGGATGTGTTGCGCACACGCATGCTATGTCCACCAAAAGCATTGAAGCCAAATCCTCGCATCCTCGCAGCCTGCAATCAGCACAGCAAAAAAATGGCCTGCACTCCATCTGGTGCCAAGGTCTCGCCCTGAAAGTGTAGGAAAATGTTATCGTCCTGGCAGCGCGGCAGTGACATCTTTGGGTGCAGGTGAGTGTAGCCGGGTCCTCAAGGACTCTGTGGTTCGAGAGGTGCGTGAAAAACGCCTTGCACCCCAGCTCGTTTAAAATGCTCTGACCGCTTTGACTAAACGGAGGTGGCTTGCCAAGAAGCCAAGTTACTGGGAGAGAAGGTGAGAAGGCAAACTCAAAAATGAAGCACAGTGGTGGCGGAATCTTCGCAACCTCGAACACCACTCGAACCTTTGCTGCGCTGCCCCTCAGGAGAGCATGAGCACAAGCAAGGGCTGCATTTTGTTGCGGCGGAGTGTCAAAAATGCCTTGGTTGCTCATGCCTTGCTCATTGCGAATCATGCACGGCACCCATCTGGCGATGAAACCATCCAGGCCACAGCTAGTCACAGCCAAAGCGCGACACTGACCCGGCCGTGATGGCGTGACGAAAACAATGTTCCAGTCTCGGTATGACTCAGGCCTCGAAGTCAATGCCAGAACCTGGCGAGTTATGACTTGAAAACTTTTCTGCCACTGCAGACTGATGAAATCAAACCATGAAAAGAGCGGGTGTTCTGTACCGGGCACTTTGCAGAAAGACATGCCTTCAAGGGGTAGGAACGGTACGTGCTCTTTCGGACCAACAGTGCCACCGAGCAGCATGGTTCGGAGCCACATACGACCTTGTACTGACGCACAGAAGCCAAGTCAATCTCAAGACTATCCTATGGGTATATGTAGGTGGATCCGTATAGATACATACACACAGACCCACCGATACATTTCTACACGGACATCCCAATGTTTTCATAAAAGGATATTGATAGCTGATTTCCCGGGCATTTCTTGTTTTCGAAGAAGGCATCGTTGACGAAGAGCGCATTGACACTCGTGACTAGCCAGAAAAGGCTGCGCCAAATAGAGAAAGGCCTTAAGTACATATACACATTTGCGCATACAGTATCTGCATATCTTGTATAACATATTATATACAAAATTTTATATACAGCATGATATATATCTGTGTGTCAATGTGGAGCACATCTGTTTGAAACCCTTCTTTCTGCCAAGCTGCACCGCGCCCGGAGCCGAAGTGATCCGCATGCCGTGGAAGCCTTCCCAGGTTATTAAGGGAAGGTGCCCAAAAGTAGGGGTCCCTTTAAAGGGGTTTATAATGGTTTTGTAGGGGTTAGATAGGGATATGTAGGGATTATTTTAGGATATCTTAAGGACCTATTTAGGGCTTACGGTTTCCTCAAATTAGGAACATGTTATCCCCAATGATGGAGAATCAAATGGAAATCTAAAATGGGAAGTAGGGTTACAAAGGGATTCATGGGGATTGGGTTTCACAAAATTAGGAGTACAATTTTGGGGTCCCCATAAGGGTTATCGTGTATTGGGGTCTATATTGGGGCCCTTTTATTTTGGCAAACTATATGGATGAACCCAGAGAAAGAGTAGGCCGGGCTGTGCTGTTGCTTGCTTGCTTGCTTGCTTGCTTGCATGGGCTAAACCTGCCCCCATGGACAGGTCGGGGCACTGCCCCGAGCCCCCAGTCTCAGGTTCGTCTCGGTCGGCCCCAGCGAATACTCAGACTGCGCAGCTTCCCACTGTGTAAACCCCGCCTGTTGAAGAACCCGGACCCGAACTCTATATCTGCTGTGCTGTTGCGGACCTCTCTCTTCCCTCTTTCTGGCAAAATCTGGTGCAGGCTTTGCACGCCTCCAACAATAGCCCCTAGTAGTTCTGGTAATTGCTAGGTTCATCAGCACGAAAGGAAGTTCAGGAAGAGTGGCAGGAGCAACAGCAGCAGCAGCAGCAGCAGCAACAAAACACAAAGAAGCAGGAAGAAGAGCTGGAGAAGGGTTCCAAGTTCCAAGCACCACAAAAAAAACAGTTCATTGTCATCAGGCAAGCATGAATGAGAGGAAGAAGATCTTTTCCTCGCAGCAGGACCTTGCGAGCGCAGCTGGCTATGAGCTGGAGTTACATGGAGAGATATCTCGCCTAAGACTGGCAATGCGGCTATGCAAATGTTTGTTGCATCCTTGGAGGATCCAGGCGAGTGCAGAATCACTGCTGCCCACTATTTACCTGGATTGCTAAGCCAGACGTCCCGCCCGCACTGGGTTTGAAAGCCTGATTTTGCTGGCGGCCCTTCCATCCGGATTGGAATCGGGGCAGCTTTGTCGCCTCAGGACAGCCAGCTTTCATGTGCCAAACCCTGATGTCTACATTTGCTACGTCGGGCTGCTTTGAGCTAGGTAGCAGGCACACGAGTCACACAAATCTTGAAATGCTGCAACACGTTGCAGCCATGCCCATGCTC